AAATCACAACGGTGAGACATACCTGGATTTATCCTTCATGCATGGATTCCATCCTTGTGTTTCAGAGTTTCAAACCAACATTTCTTGTCCATGGAAGCAGGGCATTGTCCTGAAAGGTAGCGTAAACATACTGGAAATACAAAAATAAATAAATTCAAAAGCAAGAGTAGAAACCCCAACAGGAAGTTCACAGGGATCAGCTGCAAAAACTGCCCAATTAAACTCGGGGAAAAGAGCACTATATTGGGGAATGGGAAATAGAGACCTGGGTTCTGTGGGGAGTGCCTATTGCACTGCCTCTCAAAATTAATCATTTAATTATTGCATCAATCAGAATTACTAGGAAACAAGACGGGGAATGGACTAGAATTCAAGCTTCCCACTCCACAGAGTAAGTCCTAGTAATCACACAGCTGCTGGAAGAGCAGACACAAAGCAGTCTTTGTATTCTGCCAGGAGCCCAGCCTATGACAAGCCCCATGGATGGCTCCCAGGAATGTAATGTAGTGGCATACTTTTAAATGTGCATGAATATATATCCTATCACGCTGCAACATTTGCAACAGCAGCAAAGAAAATCCAGGCAAGTATCAGTGAAGAAAGCATGTGTGGATTGCAAAGGTGGTTCTCTAATCTGAACAAGGTAAGTACTTGCTGGAAGTTTGCCTTGAAGGATATGTTCTACTTAAGGTTTTCTTAAATGAGAGTGGGGAAGCCCAATTCTTGTTTTGTGTCTTCTTTTCGAGACATTTTTACTTTTTATTGTTCTTATTATTTTCCCTTAGCTAAAAGTCACAAACTTTTTATATTTAAGTGTAAAAGCTTTGTCTAAGATGCAGAATGTCCAAAGTAGATGAAGTATTGTGTGTTGGGGTGGGGGGAACTGTTATATTCCCAGGATTAGGCACTGTCAGGAAGGCAGCTGAAATGAGTCATATGGCAGGGCTTCCTTACCTGCTGCCCCTCAGATAGAGATACAGGTGAATTAATTCCAGCATGTATTGTCCAATATCAGATGCTTCTGTGATCCAAGGCACAAATGGGCTTTCCAGGTTTTCTGTGGCTGAGATAGCTACATAACCAGGTTTCTTCTTTGCTGCATTCCCCTACTGAGTACTGCTTGCTCCATTTCTTAGCTTTCTTCTGTATAGCCTTCAAAGACACACAAGTGCACAGAGGACAGATGCTGCAACACCACAAAGATGCTCATGGCCTCTCACAGATCATTACTGCTATTGTAGTCCTCTTAAAGGGTTTGTATGGCACAGGACTATGCAACGGCTTTGTCTCTTAGTGGTGGGAGGCTGTCTTGTCCCATTGTCTGTACAGAAACAAAAACCAAACCAAACCACGCCCACTGTAAAAGTGAAAACATAGCATTTTGGAATTCCAGTGCCCATAAATGCCCCTTGCTGACTGTTGCTACCTCCTGCTTGTCCTTTTCATTTTGCATACTCCAGTGGAATTCCCCTCTTGGCTGTACTCCATTTGACTTTCAAGAAAGGATAAGTCATGACCGGTTGGTGTTCACCACTGTCTTCACTAATAGGGAGGAATTAACAGTCCTCACCTGCAAATCTATTTCTATCATCCTTGGAGTAATGGCATTTCCAAGCCAATGTTTTTCCCATACTACAGGGGTGAGGGAGGATAAGACACTCTTGTCATAGAGTACTCAGATTCTCCTGAAGCACAATCCAAAGAAATTAAGCATGTTTTAGTCTTCATGGAAGAAATTGAACTTAAACACAGAATTAGTTGCTATACTTCACTCAGATTGTTGGATTGTGCTCATGATTCACACAACGCACACACAAAATGTGTTGTGTGTTCTGTAAGAATATTAGAAGAGCCACACTGAATCTGAGCAAAGGCCTCACTAGCCCAGCATTTGGTCCATACAGTGGTCAGCCAGATACCTATAGGAAGCCTGCAAGTAGTACAACGATTTATTTATATATTTATCTGATTTATAACCCACCCTTTTCCCATTTTCTTATTAAAGAATTCAAAGTGGCTTACATCATTCTCCTGCTGCTGCTTTCCATCTTATTCCCACAACAGCCCTGTGAGGTAGGTTGGGCTGACAGTCTGGGACCAGCCCAAAGGCACCCACGTGTCTCAGCAGGGACTAGAACCCCAATCCCAGTTGCACGTTCTTAACCACTATTCCACACTGGCACCCACTTGCTTTTCCGAAAACTGGCAATAGCTACTTGATAGCCTCATCCTCCATTTATTTGTCTAACCCCCTTTTAAAGCAATCCAAGTTGATGTTCATCACTGTCTCTTGCGGTAGCAAATTCCATGGTTTAGTTGTGCTCTATGTGAACATTTATCCTGAATCTCCCACTGTTCAGCTTCATTGGACAAGACCAGGTTCTAGAAAGACGAGAGATTATAGTATCCACTTTCTCTATATGATAAGAGGTGTTAAAGACCTCTCTCAAATCTCCTCCTTATTTTTATTAAGCTACGCAGTAAAAGCACATGTGCCTACTGTATTTCCAAAAACAAGTGTGCTTCGGATGGCAGTCCAAACCAGTTAAAAGAACTCAATGTTAGTAACATTACTTATGTATACCTATTAAAAAAAGAGATAAAGTTTCTTGCAATTATCTATATGTTGGAGAGTTTGGGCACTGGTTTCCACAAGACATAGAGAAGCAGAAAGGAAATAAAATTAACTGGAAACCTTGAAAGTCTATTATCTCTGATATTTCATTCCCCTGAAACATTGTACATGAGGAGAAACCAGGAACAGAAGAACAGTTAGAAAGAAGTGTATTTATTCATTATGAGTGCAAGATATGCAGTGCATGTGATTTTAAGTAAGTTTTCATTTTTAGGAGTGAAACTTCAGGACCAGTTTTATTTTTATTTATTACTATTAACAACATTGGTTTGGCAGCTCATGTTTGGATAAATATTATACCTTTTGAAACTTTTCACATTATTTGTGCAACATTATATTGTCAATTATTGCTTTCTCTTACATTTACATCAATTATCATTCATTTCCCATGCTCATTTTTCTGCCATTTACTGTTTCCTCAGTTTAACTGCAGCTTTTGAGCTGTTGACCTTCATAGGATTTAATGTAATTTCCACATGGTACATCCTGATAAAATATGTCTGGACCAATCTTTGATGAATCATCTTTTTGTCTAAATTATCTGTGTAAACAAAAATATTTAGCATTCCCAATCCATGCCAGTATATTTTCTAACTTACCTTAATAAGTGGACATTGTTTTCAGAGTATTTGGGTTATGGAGAACTGTCTCTAATAGGAATGCATAGTCATTCTTTTATAAAATACTGATCATTGGAGACAGTCAGCAAAGATTACTGTAATTTCAATATAGTTTTTATTAAAATTCTTGAAAGGTTGTAGAATTTACCTATTAGAACTGAAGCATACAAGCTGGAACATACTTCTTCATGATCAGTAAGGATTCATTATTTCTAGAAAATAAACCCATATATGAAATTTAAATATTTTGACCAGAATAGCATTTCTGCTACCAAGTTCCCTAAGGAAAACTAGAATTAAAGTGCTTTAATGTCAGTCCAAGCACAGGATGTTGTTCAGCCTCCCTGCAGCAGAGATTGCAGTGAAGGCATCCTAATTCTATCCCCCTCAATGCCATCTGGTGGAGCTTCTTTTGAGTACTCTTGGGCTTCCTCCCAAATGGGGCAAGAAGAGAGGAAATCTCTAGGTGGGGTGAGGAATATGCACCTCTTTGGATGGTGGTGGAACATCTACCATGGCCAATGATTAGGGTTGCTGGTAGTTGCAGACAGAATGTCCCCCATCCCTGCTTAAGCTACCCAGCAATATAACCTGCAGCAAATGCATGTGGCTTCTCCAGGGAGAAAACTTGATGCAGGCATGCATTCTTTCCAAAGGAAGAGAAGTGTCCAAAATAGCAACTAGAATGTGTCTTTGTGATGGTAGAATAGCAAGTTGCATGTCTGAGATACATGAAAATTTATTTAAGAGTATATTGAGAGTATATATGCCTCTCACTGCTTTTCCTTTTGCAAGGAACCTGAGATGACTTCCATGGCGGTCCTTCTGTTTTCAGGAGTCTGAGAAGTAGGTGAAGCAGAGAGTCAGTGACCTGCCCAAAGTATCCAATGTCCATAGTTAGCAGTGTAACCAACTGCCACCGATCAGTGGCACTTTAAGAGCGGTGCCACATGCAAGGCATCATGCATGCTGCCACTGTGCTGGAAGAGAGGGGAAATCAAAAAGCCAGACTGTGGCTTATGTAGCTAGCAGTCCTCATGTGCCAAGCCAGGCATGGCTGAGGCAATCAACAAAACTCTCTGTGGCACTGGGTGCAGGGCGATGGTGAGGACGGCCGCACGCCACAGCAGTAAAGCTGAATGTGGTTTCGGTGTCAGCATTGGGATTGCCATCTTCACAGCGGAGGAGGAAACACCTCTGAGTACAATAGGAAGAGGAAAGACCAGGTTGCTCCCGCTTGTGTCTCAAGTAGCCAGGTTTTTTTTTAAGGGCAGCTCTGTCTGTGTGTGTGAATACAGCGCTGCCCGCCGCGGTGTGTTGACGGTCAGCCCTCCGTGACCAAAGCGAGGGACCGGGGGCTGTGTGCGCGCGCGCGCCCGAGCGCGCGCCTTGGCCCCCTTCCAATTCTGCGGTAACCGGGAGCTGCGCGGTGGGCTTGCGCTGGGGTATTTACGGTAAGGTGGACTCGACGGCTGTGGCGGGTCCGCGTCAGGTGATCCGAGGCAAGCAGCCGCCCGCCCGCCCGCCGCCGCTTGCCCCGAGCAGGACGCGCCGGCGACGCGAGAGCGGGGCGGAGGGGAGCAAGATGCACCATGGCCCGGCGGCAGCGGCGGGGCCGTGAGGAGGGGCTGCAGGGCGCGCCCTCCGCGGCCCTGACGCGCGGGGACGGCGGCGGGCGCTGAGTCCGCGCTCGCCAGCCCGCGCGCACGGCCGGCGGCGCGCCCGTCCCCGCAGGGCAGCCAGAGATGGGGCTCTGCTACAGCCTGCGCCCGCGGCTCTTCGGCGAGCCCGGCACAGCAGGCGGCGGCGGCGGCGGGGGGTCCCTCTCCAGCGCCAGCGCCAGCGCCGCAGAGACCGAGGCACAGCCGCCGCCGCCGCCGCCCGCGGCGGAGTCCTCGGCCCGAGCGCACCCGCCGCCGCCGCCGCCCTGTGCCCAGGCCGGAGCAGCGAAAGGAAGAAGCACGGGCAAAGGCGGCGGCGGCGGCGGCGGCGGCGAGGCGGAGGGCTGCAGCGCAAAGCCGCGTGCGGGGGAGCCGGACGGGCCGCTGCTGCTCCTGCAGAACGGAGGGGGCACCGGGGCGGCTCCCCGGGAGAGCGCGGCGAGGGAGCCGCCGGCCAAGCCGCAGCCTCTGGCGCTGCAGAGACCCTGGGAAAAGGCGCGCCTGGAGGAGCGGGAGGCGGAGAAGGAGGCGAGGCGGGTCAGCAAGAGCATCGACCGGGCGCTCAAGGAGCAGAAGCGGGAGTACAAGCAGACGCACCGCCTGCTGCTGCTGGGTACGTACCACCCCGCCCTGCCTCGCCTCGCCTCGGCGCACAGGTGGCGCTCGCTGCCTACCTCCAGGGACGGCCACATGACGAGAGAGAGAGAGAGAGAGAGAGAGAGAGAGAGAGAGAGAGAGAGAGAGAGAGAGCCATCATCGGTTGGGGGTGCTGCTCCAGGAGAGGGTGGTGGTCAGGAACAAAGGGATGTCTCCCCTGGGCTTCCCGACAGCTCCTTCCTACCACCTCCTCCTGAAGCAGAGTTCCTTCTCAGTATTTACACATCCCTTCTTGTAACTGTCTTGAATGCTCACAGCCCCTTTACTCCTATTTTGCTTGTGTACATCCAACTCTGCCCCCCCCCCCCCGCCCATGTACTCAGCCCTTCCTCGCCCCATCCCTGGTCATCCGGATTTCCCGTTCCCATCACTTCTCTCCTCCGAATGACCTACCTTCATCACTTTTCTGCAGATACGAAAGCGATTATTACAAGGTTGAACAGAAGGCTAATGCCCCCAGAGCGGAAAAGAAAGGATTTTTTCCCTGACTCTTAACATGCGTGGCTGCGTTGCTGCGCAAAAATAAAAGTGTACTTGTAGTGGCATTTTGAGGATGCAAAAATAGGTGATAATGAATTTGTAGCTTAAAGCTTCTTAATAAATACCATTCCTTTTGCTGCTGGATGCAATGGCTAATGACTTTTGAGAAGCAGTGGTATGATTTTGTGACTCATGAGTGAGCCAGTGGAAATAGAAGACAATGGGCTAGGCAGTAATGGAAAGATGAGTTGATGAACCCTTATAGAAGAATTAAAGCAGTTATATTTCACTGGTAATATTTAAGGGGTTATGAAAGTGTAGGGGATTGAAATGAACTTGAGAATCTATGCAAGATGGCTTGCAGGATTGCTGATATCAAGAGCAGTAATCCAGTGTAACCTAGAAGAGATTAAGGTAGCATCAGCCCTATTTGCATCACACAGAATAAAATGAAATCCCTTTGGAGTTGCAGAGAATCTTGACTTAAAGATTTTTTTCATCCCTTGATCTTCATATATTGTGATGAAAACTTAAGCCATAAACAAAGCACAATATTTTGTGAATCATTTAAGTTTGGCATCGGCGCGGGCCTTGGCAGAAGGAAATAGAGTTGGGAGAGGCTACCAGTTAATCATTTATAAATACAATATTTCAGAATGGCAAAAAATAGCTCTTTTTCCATGAAGTGCAATTCATGTGTTGATTCTTTTATGTTAATAATTATTAGTTCTCTCTAGGAACCTCATTATAACTGTTACTTTTACAGTGTGAATCCTGTAGGGATGGTTAAGTGAAGCATGGTATTTCCCTGAAGAAATAAACTGTACTCAAGTGTATCTGGTTTGTTCTTTTTCACATTGTGTTGTCAGAAATCCTTTACCCTGTTCAGAAATCTCTAGTCTGTACACTACTTTATTTCCTTTATCCAGCATTATTTATATATACCCATAGATTCTCTCATAAGTGTTAAGGAGGAAATTGACCAGTTAAAAATGTTTTTATTTGTGAAGGTGCCAAAGGTGATTGCCAAAATCAGTATCAATTCTAAACATATAGAATTCTATAGGTCATTATTGGCTGGATGATTCTGGCATATCAATAGTGCCTATTAGCTGGTAATCAAAAAATGTGTATTGGAATGGAAATAATTTCAAAGTGTTATGCTGTTTAAACTGGTGTAAGTATGTGGTGAAAGCGAAACGAACTAAGCAATGAGATGACTGCTTTCTTGTTGTAGAGAGCGGAGAACGTGTAAGTGATGTATCCGGCATAACGGATTGCCTCATCGAGACAATCAGCCACACAGCAAGCCCCTTGCCTTCATCCCACTGGCACGTTTATGCCACACTGTGTATTGCGCCAGGACATCCAGGTGCCCATAGAATGCATTATGTGACCACTGTGGACTTTCCCAGGTGGAAGGCTGTTAGCACTAGTAACACACGTATTCTGAGCGCCGTGTTTCTATGTGGAGGACTTAGGAGGAACAGCGAATTAGTGGGAGGAAGCATTGGATACAGGAAAGAAACTGGAGATGACACTGGAAAATTGTAGGGAGAGCAATGGAATTCGGAAGTCCCAAGGCAATCTTACAGAATTGGATTATTCTTTTTTCACTGCCTGGTAGAATAATAGTAAATCTGGAGCCAAAAAGGGTCTGCTGGGTGCCACAACCTTTAAATATTGTAGTTTAGTATACATTGGCATCTGGATTCATCTTGGATTTCTCTTACATTTGAAACACATTTGCTGCTGCTACCCTGGATATAGGCTTTTGCTTCCTGAGGAATCAGTAGTATGTAATCTCCTGAGGGTGACTATAATATGTTTTTATATGGAAAATGTCTTATGTTAAGATAAATGAGTTTGTTTAAGCTTGGGGGTCACTGTGTAAATATTTGAAAAGTATCCCTTTTCTGATCAAATAGGTTAGTGATCCTCTATATTTAGAAGCCAAATAATGCATTGTTTAGATAATCTGCTTTTGAAACATTGTAGTCATTCGCTCTGTGGGCAGCTGCCTGGAATGCATTTGCTCTTTGTGGTGCATTGTTATTCAGTGTACCTGGGATCATCTTTAAGAGGGTCTGTCTGTGGAAAGACTGATGGACATGGTGATTTTGACGCCAGCCCTGTGCAGATTTCATTCTAGTAGATCCAGTGACATCTGCTTTGTTTTAGCAACTCCGTATGTTATAGCAGGTAAAAATGATGGGAATTATACTCTAGCATGTGTGGAGGGCACCAGTTGGGGAAGGTTGTATTCTTGATAATGACTGATACCTGATAGATGTTGACATTCACATGTGAATGTTGATAGCCCTGAAACATGTCACCCTTGGAAAACTCAGAAGTATGTTGGTAAATGCTGGCAGTCAGCAAAATGAGGCTGTGTATGCCCAACGACCCAGAGAGCTTCAACTGTTGGCAGAACAGAAATTACATAAATAATAAATAAATTTAGAGGAATTTGTGCCTTTTTTCAGACATTTAAAAACATTCACTTGAGACTTTCAGCAATTCACAGCTATTGGATATTCAGTGGAACATACATTTCCCGATCCAGCTACTTATCTGTTATTCTTTAGGAAGTGGTTGTAAACACTGTGCCTCACTGTACATTATGGAATCTGCTTCTGGGTAACCTTGCCAAGGGTTTCTCTGTGGATTATTCATAGCCTTTATTACTCACACCGAAATAAGTTGGTTCATTATGTGGTGTTAGTTCATTTTAGTACCTCACAGGTGGGGCCTAGATCAGATGGATGCAATGCAATCTCCTGCCCATGATCTTTCATTCCATTCCCTCATATTCCTAATTTTCCATGATGGTTTACATTGGGTGAGTTGACCTGGTGGGGGGCGGTCTACAAAACTTGAAGTTCCTATGAGGCTGTCAATATCCCCTTCATGGTCATGGGTGCTGCTGTTTTGGCTGCGTAAGGAATGGCACTAAAATAGCTGAATTTGCTTTGTTGACTTTCTTGTCATCTAGAGACATGGCAACAGATATTCTGAGAAAAGCGTATAGTGTAATTCATTTTCTACATTTTTGGAAGGTAGAATGCAAATAAAATGTTAACATGTGATAGTGTGAGCTTGAGATTATGATCTACTGAGGAACAGATGGGATAAGACAAGCATGAAGCATTTATTGCTTTGCTTATTGTTGTCTGTGATGGCTGCTTTAGTTGCCCTTTGGTCCTATATATATCTGGCAAGTCATTTATTGTTTGAATTATATTGTCTTTGTTCATTGGGTGCCGTTGTAAACACTTCTGATGGAGCTTTTAATTAACCTTTTCCATGCAAGCCACTTTCTAAAGTGGACCTGCACTTTTTGTACAGAGATGGATTACGTTATACTGCACGCCATCAATAAGTTAATTTCCTGACATGCATGCATGTTATCCAAGGATTTTAATGTAAAATTAAATATAGTTTAGCTATTTACTTTTTGCATATCATACACTAGTATTTTATAAAAATCATGTATAGATTTAAAGTCCTGGCTTTAGAAAAAAACTAAATATTGATATGAAACAACTGTATTAAAGGTGTAATGACATGCATGTCTATTCAGAGGAGACCATTATTATTTTCAGTGGATCACTTATTTATGAATAGACATGTATGGGATTGCACTATTAGACTGCAGTACTAAATAAACAGTATAGGAAATATGATCCACTCAGCTTACTAAACATTCATAGAAATACATGGTTGTATAATTTTAGAGAGAATTAATGCAAAAAACATCCATTTTTCAATCCAGAAATGGAAAGGCTCCTTCCATCCGAATGAAAGGACTTTGATCCACTGGAAGGATCTTACTGGAAAGGGGAAAAAAAAGGTTATTTTTGTTTATTTCCCCTCCCCTTCACCTTCACTGCCAACTTCCCAAACAGTTCTGAAGGGTCTTTTGACTCTCTGGAAGAGAGTTTCAGAAAGTGGAAGTTGCTGTAGAGGAAACAGCCGAGGTTGCCTCCTGACTTTGGTAGGAAAATAATCTAAGCATAACTGCATTCAGGAAATGTTTCCACCATCGCTTCTACCATTGCATTGTTTTTGAGATATGCATCAATATGTAGCCATGGACTGAACCTAGAGAAATAGTCAACTTGCATGAGATATCATGACAGGCAGCTTCTGAACTGTTTGCACCTTCAACTTCAGACATCAAGAGAAGGGGCATCGTATTACCTCTGAAGGCAATACAATGGCAATAAACCTGTAAGACATCATGCGTGGGCCATGTGTCCTGAGAAACAGATTTAAAGTATTTAAAACAGAAAAATGGTTAAATCTGTGTATTCCTGACAAAAGATATTCTGAAACTGGAGTCAGATTACACACCTCATTCTTATAGGAGTTACAGATGTTCTCTTTTGGGATACTAATGAACCCAATAATTACTTAATATTTATATTGTTTTATGGAAAAGGAAAGTTCTGAATCAACACCCCTTTTTAAATT